TCTGGGTTACATGCCACCTCTGCTTTTGCCATTTGCCTTAGATATTTCCTAATGGACTTAGGAAAGTCATTTTACCTTCCTGAATTTAGTTTTCTTCTATAAAATGAGAATATTAAAATTTGCACTGTGGGGTTGTTACGATGATTAGAAAAATCTGAAATGAAGTAGTTGGCCTACAGCAAGAACTGAATAAATGGTGCCAGTTATTATAACATGGTTCCCAGCCCAGTCCTGGATGCCATGATCAGTACGTAGCAATACCTGATGAACAATAAGATGATGACAAATGATACCATGGTAACAGTAGGACTAGATTAATTTTAGAGTTTCTTAAAGATCAGTTGTCTTATGGTGGCCCAATTACATACCAGCTGCAATTCTTAACTTGCAACCCAAGTTATGCTGATTGTAACTTCTTGGGAGGAAAAATTTTTAAGTATTTAAGAAAAATGAGAGGAAAGAGAACCAGATATTTTGTGCCTTCTTGATGGAAAAACATGAAAAAAATCACATATGAATGGTCCAACCTCTGGATCCAAGTACTTATTTACACAAAATACAGAGGGGCCTGGCGTGGTGGCTCACATCTGTAATCCCAGCACTTTGGGAGGCCAAGGCAGGTAGAATCACTTGAGGTCAGGAGTTCGAAACCAGCCTGGCCAACGTGGTGAAACCCCCTGTCTACTAAAAATATAAAAATTAGCTTGGTGTGGTGGCGGGCGCCTATAATCCTAGCTACTCAGGAGGCTGAGGCAGGAGAATTGCTTAAGCCCAGGAGGTGGAGGTTGCAGTGAGTGGAGATGGCATCACTGCACTCCAGCCTGGGCAACAGAGCAAGACTCCGTCTCAAAAACAACAACAACAAAAAACAAACAAAAAATGGAGGGCAGAGGCACATGTTAAACATCATAACAGGGAAACAATTAGCAAAATCCATACTGTAGAAATACTATAGGAAAAATGCTGTGGTTTCTTCAACAAACACATTGCAAGAAAAAATAATGGAAAAGGAACTTACAAAATAAAAAAAGATTTAAGAGACTTATTAATTTCCATGTGTAGATCTTACTTGAGCTTTGATTCAAACAAACAAAATTTTAAAAAATTCATAAGGTGACTGAAAGTTTAAATACTGACAGGATCAAAGACATATCTTAATACTAGTGACTTCAAAAATTCTCATTAATTTTTAGCTAAGTCAATGGTATGATTATGTTTTGTTAATAAAAGAGTTCTTATCTTTTGGAGATGCATTTTTAAAATATGTGTGTATTGAGGTAGTATGAGGTCTGGAAGTTGCTTCAAAGTAACACAGAAGGGGCAATGTGAGGGTGAGGGTAGGGATATAGATTAAAAAGGTTAGTTACCTGAGGCGGATGGATCACCTGAGGTCAGGAGTTTGAGACCAGCCTGGCCAACATGGCGAAACCCATCTCTACTAAAAATACAAAAAGTAGCTGGGTGTGGTGGCACGTGCCTGTAGTCCCAGCTACTTGGGAGGCTGAGGCAGGAGAATTGTTTGAACCTGGGAGGCAGTGGTTGCAGTGAGCCAAGATTGCGCCACTGCACTCCAGCCTGGGTGACAGAGTGAAACTCCATCTCAAAAAAAAAAAAAGTTAGTTACTACTTGATAACTGCTGACATTGGAAAATGGGTATATGAGGATTCATTATATTACTTGCATATCTGAAGTTTCTCTATATTTAAAACGTTAAGTGCGTCTATCCAAGATTATATGCACAATAAAGACTTAGATATAAGGAAATACAGAATATTATTTAATACAATGTTGGACAAATGCATTGTGATGGTTTAATGAATAAATTAATGTGTATTTCCCCTAGCTAGTCCTTCATAGCCAGGTTTCTACATTATATACATAAATGATATTCTTTCTTTCTTTCTTTTTTTTTTTTTTTGAGATGGAGTTTGCTCTGTTGCCCAGGCTGGAGTGCAGTGGTGCAATCTCAGCTCACTGCACTCTCTGCCTCCTGTTCAAGAGAGGTTCGCCCCAGCTGCGAGGAGCTGGACTAACAGGCGCCAGGACACGACGTCCGCAATGAGGCGTATTTTTATGGAGGAGAGACGGGGCACAGTGAGCCAGGAGGGTCTCAATCTCACGGAGCCTGGGGATCCCGGCGCAGCTCCCTAAACGCGGCGGATACACGCTCGGAGCTCAACCACGCCTGGCCAGTAAATGATATTGCGATGGGCAACATGGATAAGTAGTTATATCTATTATTTCTTATAATTATCTCGGGAGAAAAAGACTGCGAAGGAGTTTGGGCATGGAAGTGGTTTGTTTAGTGGTAAAGGGGGGGCGGTGTGGCAAGGCATAGGGATAGGAAGGGCAAAGGATAGGATCGAGCTATGAGACAGTTGCCAACATGGGCTCAGCGAGCTCACCTCGTCCCCGCGTCGACACCAACCGCCTGAGGGAGCTGGAGAGAGGAAGCGCGTGTGTCAGTGAGATGTGTGTGTCGCCGACGTGGAAGAATGACGCAGCCGGTTATCCTTGGAATCACTCGTTCGGCCTCTTGCTCAACACAAACTTGATACTCAGTGGCAAGGATGAGCGCACCAGGTGGCTGGATCGCAAAACTCGTCCGTAAAACACTCACCGGTCGCGTCGGGGAGCAGAGGTTGCAGTGAGCCGAGATGGTGCCACTGCACTCCAACCTGGGTGACAGAATGAAATCCCATTTCTTATCAAACAAACAAAAACAACAAAAAATGCTCATCCTCAGTCACATCAAATTCCTTCTTCCACTATCCTTCCTATATGAACCATACAGGGGAAAAGGAAGAGCTAACATTTATAGCACTCCTCATGTGCTAAGCACTGTGTTAAGCCTGTGCATGTGTCTACCTGTGCATGGTTTCAGTTAACTCACAGCATACCTAGGTAGGTAGGTACAGATGCTCCTTCATTTAGTATGAGACTACATCCTGATAAACTCATCATAAGTTCAAGATATGGTAAGTCGAAAATGCATTTAATACACCTAACCTACCGAACATCATAGCTCAGCCTTGCCTATCTTAAACATGCTTAGAAGACTTACATTAGCCTACAGTTGGGCAAAATGTCTTAGGTTAAATTCCTTGAGAAAAAGACTCTGAGAGGGAGTTTTGTGGGCATGAAGTTTTTTGTGGGGGAGGGTAAAGTGGGGGTGTGCTTTTGTGTTCAATCATAGTGGATAGGAATGGGCAAAGTAAGGATCTGAGCAGTGATACAGTTGCCATACATGTCTCATCTGATCTCACCTCACCCAACCCCTAGGGAGCTTGAGAGATGGAAGGCGCTTTTCAAATATGTCCCACGTTGAAGAATGGAGCCAGGCCTTTATCCTTGGAATCACTCTTCTGCCTACTTTGCCTCAACAAACTTGAACTCATTTTTCAAGGATGAGGTCACACTGCTTTCATGGATCTGCAAACTCTTCCTTAAAAACACTCACCCTCCCGGCCTAAGGAGGGCAGAGGTTCATGAGCCGAGATGGTGCACCTGCACTCCACTGGTACAGATAGGAAATCCCATTTCTTATCAACAAACAAAACACCAACAAAAATGCCATTCCTCAGTCCACATCAAATATCCTTTCTCACTACTCCTTCCTATATAACCATACAGGGAAAAGAAGCTAAACCATTT